CCACCAAACTCCTTGCCATCTATGTATGCTACGATTACAAAAGTTATATTATTATATGCACCTTTAATTAGCTTTAAAGTACTAATAAAAAATTATGAATAAAGAAATAATCTCCCTCTCTTCAATATCCTAACTACCTATGTATGCTACGATTACAAAAGTTATATAATTACATGCACCTTTAATAAACTTAAAAGTACCATAAACTTAAAAGTACCACATCAATCATTTGGGGCATTGTAAGAACCACCTATCTCCTAAGACGTTCAATCCTAACAAAAAGCCTTAGTGGTTTTGGCCCTTCTTAGGTTGGATGTTCAAGTCCCTCCCAGGACTTAAATGAAAAAACCCTTCCCCAAACTCCCTTATCTTCATAAAAAAAACAAAAAACAAAAAACCAAAAAATAAAAATCTGGTTAATTCCAGAACTTGATTTTTTTTTTTCTTTCGATAAGAATAATAATTAATAAATTAATATTATTAAATATTAATAATCGAAGATCCGAACTCAAATTTAATCAACAATTTACCGACAAACGCACGGTGATCGAGGTGTTTGGTGGAGATCATTCCAAAACTTGAACTGACAGACACATCGTATTCCCAATTATCACTTTTCCGGACAACTTTCTCAGCTCCGTAACTCCAAAGGATTCAAGCCTCAAGTTCTATTTTTTTTTTTATTTAAGCCTGAAGTTCACGGGCCCTGACAACCGTCCAAACTCAATTCATAATATACTTGACGACAACGTTTTAAGTTCCTTCACGAACCTAAATGATTTCCGATTCCAATTCCTTCCTTGATTCTGTCTTTACCTTATCATGTACCAATCATTAAACGCTATTCCCCTCTCCTTCTGATCTAATCAAACACCAACAATTCATTTTAAGAAAAAAAAAAAAATCAATAACAACATTTCTCTTATCGTCTCTACTTTCCAGATTCAGATTTCTCCAACAAACACAACAATGGCTGCAAAACTGGGGACTTTCCGGCACTCCCTGCTGGAGAAGAGGGAGAGGGACAAACTGACATATTCACTCCTAGGATTTCCCCAAGAACATGATGAGGAAGCGGAGCGTGTGCGCTGTTTCTCCTACAGGCATGTAAGCGAGAAAGTTGCCGGGTTCTTGAAAAGCGTCCCGGATGTGGCTGCCCAGGCGTGGGAGATGGGCAGGTCCGATCCCAGGAATATCATCTTCTCTGCAAAAATGGGGTTTGCCCTGATTCTCATTACTTTGCTGATTTTCTTGAAAGAACCAATCAAGGAGCTCAGCCGCTACTCTGTTTGGGCCATCCTTACCGTTGTCGTGGTGTTTGAGTTTAGTATTGGTAATATTATAATATTACTTACATTACATACTTTATTTTTTATTTACCGTGTTCTAGGCATTATCTGGTGCTAACATTTTCAGCTGTGTTTTTTTTTTTTTTTTTTTTT